TCCAATATTACTTTGTCACTTAAACTGCTCTGCTCAGGCAGGCCATCAGAATGCCCATAAGACATCTTATTTTTTTGCTTTTATTTTATAAGCAGGACACTCTAGTGGCTGTGAACTGGCCTGTTGGAAGTCCACGGTCCCTCTTCAATACAAGGAGAATGGTGGCTAACTACTGGAAAGCGCTAGGAGATGATCAGTCAGTGACTTTTGGCATTTTCTGATTTGTAGTTTTCTTAGATTTCAAATGGAGATTGCTGAATAGACACTTTTTATTTAGTGACAACAGGAGTTCTTTTCTGGATACACACAGGAAGATGACAAATTATATGCTGTGACAATGACTGGCTCTATTTCATTTTATACTTGTGCAACCCCCATGATGGCTTTAATGAGTGAGGGGGAAAGAAGCACAATGAATGTGTCCCTTAAGAGTGAATTTTCTCCTTATTTTAAAGCAGATCTGAGATGCTTACTGCTACCTCAGGAGAGTGAAGCCCTTTGCAGAGGCAGCAGATGCAGTTCAGCATTGCTCTTTCTATTGTGCTTCAACTCTGACCACGGAAGAGCTAGCTCTTGGGACAGAAAGTGCTCTGTTTACACTCAGACCTTGGCATTTTTCCTAAGGGTAGCAATTATAATGGTGTTTTTTGATATGGGCACACATCCATTATGAATTGGCTTGCACCCACCAACTCATTTTGCGCAGGCCATGGAACATGCATCAGATGGCAACAATTCCTGTTTGTGTGCAATGTTAAGGAAATCTAGATTGTTACCAGCAGAATAATGAATTCCATAGAATTGTTCCGTTGTGCAATTATATGAAGTATGCTAAGAGAAAGTGCAGTTTCTCAGAAATTCCTTCTTTATTTTTCTTTCTTTTTTTTTTTTTTTTTTTTAAAAAAAACCCCACAGGAGTGATAGATTATTAATCATGACTGATACTCAGTTACTGTGAATTATAGCGGAGCAGTGCCTAGAAATCCCAGTCTGTTTGGTAAACTTATTTTTTTGCATAATAAGAAACTTACCTTGCATTTAGGAGGCCTAAAATATGACTTGACATAGATGAAGATTAAACCAATGGAACCACCCATTTCATGTAATTAAAAGAAAAATTTTAATAGATACATACATTCTTAATCCAACACTATCATACATTTTTTTGATACTGTACAAGCATAACAATAGGAGAAATACAGTTGTGAACATCTTAATTGTTCCCGTATTTGCTTTCTTCCTGAGAGCCAACGTCTTCTAGAACTCAGCTGTAGCACTCAGCCTGAATCCCTAAGCAGCACTGGCGTTAAGGCAGAGTTGTGCATTGTCTTGACTTGTGGAAGATGTTGGTTATTCTGGTTGTGATTGTTTAAGAGAGTAAGAACGATCAAAATGCGCTAGGAAGCAGAGGAAAGTCAAAGGAGATAATATAATATGCTCCAGCCCTGTATTTGGGGGTGTACACAGGCTAATTTTTGTTGGTCCCATATCTAAAGGGACTCATAGTGTGCATGGAGAGTAAGGCACCAGAACAACATTATGGAAGGGCTCATGTTCAGTCAGAGAGCTTAACTGCCTTTGAGATAACTGGCCTTTAACCTTTTGGAAGCAACCTGAAGCTTTTCACATTCAGTCTATGTGCAGTACAATATTCAGCAAATGACAATTTTTGATGTAAAAGGTTTACATCTTAATCTGTATTGTGGCCTGAGAACATAGTGAAAGGAGGTAAAAAGACATTTTCCTCTCAAGGATGAGACAGCTGGGTCATTTCCAAGAGGAGATCCTTAGAGAGCATCCCATGGCCCCTTCCTGTAGAAGGTAGCAATATAGCTCTTTGCTATTATCTCTGTCTCTCTCTTCCCCCAGCCAATCTGTCAGCGCATTTATGGTGCTGAGGAGAGGCGTCGTGTCGAAGCGATGTTCCCGTTTGCAAAATGGTAACTTCTATTTGTTGTTCTGAAGAGCTGGTTTCACACACTGCGGAGCTGACATCTCTCTGGGAGCACAGCTGAGTCCAACATGTTCAGAACAGCCATCCACCCAAACGCCTCCTACTCAAGTGCTCAGACCTTCCTTCCCAGTAAATAAAAAATACAGAGACAGCCTCGAATGGTTCCAAATATTTCTGTTTCACTGGAATGTCCACCCATGTTCAAATCTGATAAATGGGTATTTCTCTGGCCTAGGAAGTCAGTTTAGTGTAGCAATAGAATGACTCTCCAAAGAGGAAACCCAGTTTCTGAAACCGTTAACGGAAAGTCTGACTGACTTTCTGTGATGTCAATGTACTGAAGGGCTCCTGTGTGACATGAAAATACAATGTTTCAATTAACAATTTTATGACAGAAAACAAAGTCATCATAAGGTGCTGCTTCTACTACGTTGTACAAAACTACACGTTTTTCAAAGTTCCATTGCTCATACAGAAGGCCTCTAAAAATCTACTTCCTAAAACAGGAAACGAAGCAATGTGCCATTGAACACTTTAGGCAAGGAGATATTATTGCATTATTTAAACCACAGCCATACAACAGCAGCTCACAGTATATCCCACGGTGTGATTCAGTTCATATTGTTGGGACATCCTGTCTAGCCATGGCTATGGCTGTGACCATTGCAGTTCTGTCTTTGACTTTACCCATGCCCTGTAGTAGACATGACCTCACTTTTCCAACCTATGGACTACAACATGAAAAAAAAGCTCTTTTGAATAATTATTCCTAGCAAAAGGGTTGGAAGAAAATATTTGTGCCAGTAGTCCTTAATTCAGCTCCACAGCTGATTCACAGAGACCTCACTTGCCATGGGTCATCCCGGTATGGTCAATGTGTATTACCTTGAAGGCTCAGAGCTGGAACAAGACATCCTGACTTGCAAGACAATTTCCCCATCTCTGGGTCCCTCACTGGCAGAATTTTGGGGTATTTCATGCTCTGGTTTCCTCTCATGGGCTCCTTCCAGGCATTGCACGTGAGATCTCGTCTTTTGGATGGCAGCATCAAGAGCAAGGACTGCCAGTGTGCATCTCTATTGGTACTTCTCTATGATATAGTATGTGGGGCAAGTTTTCTCCTTTTCTGACTCTTAAATACTTTTGGTCTGTGTCTTTGTTAATACATACTCACTTGCCACTTTGTCAAGGACAACCTGTGGTAGGAAGTGAAATGATCCAGTCCACTGTGGCTCAACACATTGCACAGGGAGATTAGTTGTGGGATTCAGTATTGGGCGATTTAAGATCAAAACTCTATGGGAAAGTACAAACTGGAGCATTAAAACAGCATTGCCCAGCCCAGGGTGTGCGAAGCCAGTGCCTCCTGGGTGGCAGTAGTTAGCGCTTTTTGGGGTGGGGTCCAGACCCAGCTGGCAGGCTAGCTCAGGTGTGGCAAGTAAGCACTTCATTCTTTTAGGTGGCTGCAACTCACAAGGTGATGTCACAATTAAAATAAGAAAACCTCTTTTACTCCCCACCCATGTCCTGGAAGGAGCACAGAAACAAGGTATGCTGGGCTGCTCACTATATTTCTAAGGTTTGTTGTCCTTAGATCACCGAGTTTTGTAAGACACCTGTACAAAGATCATGAGCAGTTCTTCCTACTTAGTGATTTTTTTTGAAAACATGAATTTTCCAGAAGGGTGTGAGGGGGGTGGGTAAAGGAAAATCACATGAATCTTTGTTTCCATTAGATATTCATGTGTCAGGACTACAGGTTCGAAACTCTGAATATTAAACAAGTGGCTTCAATGATTTCAGCAATGCTGAGTATCCCACCACCTTGTCCAGGATTCTTGTTTGGCATTCCCCAGGCACTTCTGCACCGAGATCGGTGGGGGTTTGGAGAGAAGTTTTGGTGCCTGTACAAAGCAAACACTGTCTTTGGTGTTAGTCTATAAATACCTAATGTAAGCAAGCAACTCTGTATTTTCCTGTGTGCTTAATACGTGCGTTCTACTCCCTCAGGCAGCTGAATTTACATGCTTTTGTTGTCATATGTGTAACGTGCAATATGTATTTCCTTTTTATTAATCAGGCCTGCTGTCAGAAAAGAGATAGAGGGAGTTTGAAAGCACAGCCAGGATAGATACTGTCATTTTGTAATCTTTTGTGCACAGGTGGAAATGCCTGTTTCCACTAAAATAGGTGACAACGTTCTGCTGCTTGCAGAAATCTTACAAATGAAAATCAGGCGAAGGAGTTACTGGCTATCCATGGGGTAATTCTCCTCTGGAAGTGTGCAGTCAATTCCCATTTAGGCTAATTACACTTAAGGAGCCCTTTCCTATAACTAATGAACAATAGGCCTAACCTGTTATTACATAACCATAGGCACGCACTTTAATACACTGTCGAATTGCACTACCCTGTTAAAATGCTTCCTCTACAAAATTCACTGGAGATTTTTAGGGACATTTGCTGTAATTACTGCTAGCATGGTTTCTAATTCATTTAATTTTCTTTTCTACCTAAACTGAGCATATAAGTGTGTTTTAAGAGATTGAATAAATAAATTTTTAATTATAAGATGATGCTGCATCATACATTATTAATAATAACCAACAATGTGTAATACATGTTTAGGTATGAATCCATTAGGAAGATGAACTAATATATATCAGTCCTAAAATAATGTCCTAATTTGTCCTGTTTATGAATGGGGAAATCCATGTTTAAAGCAATTAGAGGTTTATAAAAGCCTTGGATTGACAGGGAGTAGAGCATCGAGCACACTTGGCACTTAGGAATTCTGTTGTCTATTGCAAAGAAGACCCTTTTTTGCCCTTTATTGGTTTCAGCAGTTTTTGAAATCATACAACCAGAATGGTACAGATATACAGACCTCCGGGGTGGGAGCAGCGTGATGAACAAGTCCTGGTTGGCAAACACTCTGGTTATTATTGTTATGTTTTCTTAAAAAAAAAAACCCAAAACCAAACAACAAAAAACCCAACACTCCTTTGTATTCTGTCAGTTCACTTTCAGGCAGTTTTCAGGAATTTTGCCACTTATTTTCCTATTAGCGATAGCAGACTTCGGAAATCTCCATAGCAAGTTCCAGGCATTCACCAGTCTCGTGGCAGGACTCAAAAAGGCTGCAATCGATGTCACAGTCACAGTTGCAGTCGTTGTTTGTGTGGTCTTCGTTGGAGGTCTGGTAGTATCTATTGGATGGACAACAGGTATCTGTCAGCCAATGTTCACAGGTATCAGGCAGCATTATAAGACAGTCCCAAAATTGGCAGAACAAGCAGGCCAGGATAAGTGTTGCGCATTCATCTGAGAAAAAGGAAAAGCAGCAAGACATAAGAAAAGGGGCGTGCTTGATTACCCAGGTTCAGGCTGGGTGACTACACAGAAATGAGATGCCAGAGAGCACACAGGGCAGGCTGAAAATACATTGATGATAACTACTTTCATAAAGGCAAATGAAAGGATATATTTTCTGACTTGTTTGTTCTGGAAGAACAACAGCGGCATGAAAATAATTTGAATGAATATACACTGTGCTGTGAAGTTCAGAGGAACAAGTACTCTGAACTAACCTTATGGTTGGACTTGATGATCTTAAAGGTCTTTCCTAACCTAAATGATTCTATGATTCTATACTCTTAAAGTGTTTGGCTGTAAGTTTCAGCACAGGAGTGAACCCCATTGCAGCAGGGATGCTCTGCTGGGGGCTTTGCAGCCTTGCAGGAGTTTGGAAGTGCTGCTGCTTTGTGACGTCACATGTGTTACCTGACCAATGCACATGACACTGGAGTTTATTTTCTTTTTCAGAAGAGTTTTCAATTAAAGATAAAAACCATCATGTTTCTCCTACTCTTTCCCACCTTTTCATTCACAGACTTGTTAGTTTTTGAAAGGAGAACAAAAGTTTGGAAAATAGTGTCAGCTAGAATGTGTGTCTGGAGCCAGTCGATATGCCTGAAAACTTGGTCACTGTGACAAAAACTTTGTGTTATATTTGTTCCCCTCAAAAATCAACTAATTAACTCCCCACCATTCAAACTACAGCATCTGGGGAGGCTGCCTCCGGGTGCAGCAGGGTGCGGAGCAGGTGTGAGATTCTGACTGTGTGAATCCAGTTGGAGCGCAAAGACCCAGACCTTTCAATATTTTTTTTTTCCCTCCTTGTTTTTGGAAAGGAAAAATGCCTTCAACAATATGAATGCCTTTTCATTGGTTCTTTCAGGAAAGCATATGGTTATAACCACATTTCTTGCCCTAGGATGACTAACTGTGAACTCATTCAACTGCATTGGTTCTGTTGTGGCATTTTCTATCTCACGTAACATAAAGTTCACTGCCAGGAAGTTTCCAGAATTATGCTCTTTTTTTTTTTTTTTTTTTAAGAAAGCTTTCTTGATGAAAAACAAAATTAAGAAATCATTCCAGCTTTTTTATTAAAAAAAAAAAAAAAGCAGTTAAAGCAGGTAGCAAGAATAAATAGCATGTGGTTGAACTTCTAAGTAACGTATCATCACCAATGTTATCAATTTTAATACATATTTAAATATGTCAAGATCTATTTAAGTTCAGACAAGCACAACTAACTTCTAAGTCAGTTCTGTAGAATAAGAATGACTAGATTTCGATGATACTTAGTAAATTCATGCTTATATTTTTTTTTTAACTAAATGAACTGAAATAATTATAAAATTGAAACATTTTATAAGGTGACACTGGTGCATTTAATTGTATGAAATTTACACTGTAGAAAATGTAATAATTTTATCCAGTAGTCCTTGATGTAATTAAGACTATTCTTTTTAGGTATTTTATGTTTATGAAATTTCCTTCCTATGCATAGATGTGAGAGATGAAATTCAGAATTATTTATCAGTTAAGGATCTTTCAATTTTTTTGTCCTCTCCAAAGATCTATTTTCTAATATCATTTTTTTTTTCCTGAATGTGTTAACCATAATGGTGCTTATGTAATCTGAAGAGAATAGATACAATTCTTAGAGTTTCATCGAGGAAAGAGAGCACACAAAAAGCACAAGATTTTAATAATAAAATAATGTTTCAGCACAGAGCCTGTGATGTGCAGTAAAGATGCTTTTAAATTCCCATCAGAGCACACACCATGAACTGTGATAATGGATGTAACACATTTCGAAAAATCTGCATGTGTGAGGCTTTTTTGTCCTGTTTTAAGTGGGATAATGTATATAAATAATAGATATTAGCAATTAAACATCCATTCCTATGCATTCATTTATATATTTGAAAATAAATTAGCCACAAACTGCAAAAAAGAAGATGCAATCTCCTGTTTTCTCTTCTGTTTTCCCTGCTGTTTGCTAAACGGCATTACTGCATTTATCTCAGTGAGAACAAGGACCTCAGCTCTCATTCCCTATATTAATAGATTAATTAGCACAAAAGAAGAACTTCTAATAATTTTGCCAGCCTGCCTTATCTCTAAATTTTCCTGCTCTTGTTTGGTGGCTGTCAGCTCACCCCCTGCTCATGCAGAGGCTGCCCTGAACAAACCTGGTCCAGAGCTCGCTGAAGCCATGATGGTCACCCTTGGTGAGACCTACGAGCTTCGGCTATGCTCCTCTCTGAGCACAGGCAATAAAATCACCAATTCCCTCAGCTATCACTCTGCCTTCAGAAGTTCTCCATGCACCAGCAAACAGGATTTGGCCTTGTGTGTGTGGAATAAGCAGTAACTTGTCAGAGTAGAGTGAGCGGAGTATACAGTGACAACCACAAATCTGGCTTCCTTTGGTTTTCTTGGCTTCCATCCAGCCTTTAACATTATTAATTGAGCACAGATTGGGGTTTTTTGTTAATTTCCTTCACTTTTAGCTTTTTTAAGGAGTATGAAATCTGTTATTTGTATCACATGGTACACACCTGTGTGCCAGTAATGGTTGAGGGGCCTGAGCAGATAGTCAGCAAACTCAGAAAGTCAGCACACTCAGAAAATAGTGAGTGTTTGGACTAGAGGACAAGTCTCCTAAATGAAATAAATACTTCAGATCCTTCATTAAAATGAAATGTATTCCCACAGATGTATCAGAGACATCCCTTTTATTACGGGATCATTGATACAATAGAGATGGTCATGGCTAATGGTTCCTGGAGAACGTGGCAGTTTATGTTGATCTGTATTTAGAAATTCTTAATTGAGGAATTGTTAAATTATATACTTGATAGATCCCAACTCCATTGGATATAGCACACTAATCCATTATTGCAAAAGACACATACAAGAAACTTCAAAAGTGCTTTTTTTTTTTTTTTTTTTTTTTTTTCCACATCCACTGGAATAACCAGGAATAGCTGGTTCTCAGCATAATTCCACTAACATCAGGGGTGTTATATTATTTAAATTAGCAGGAGTCATGCTCCTTGGCCTGTAATGAGCGTTCACAACCCATTCTATTCCTCAACTCCTGGTTATACTACTGCCTCTGAAACTCTTAAAAAAATATAATGCAGGTATTCGGCTCTTTAACTTGTGCTTTTACACAATGAAAAGGACGAGCACCTTTTTGGAAAAGGAAAGACAGCTCTGATTATTATTAGCTCCCGTTGTGTTTTAGCAGTGCTCATTTGTAAAAATACACTTGAGCTACTGGTCTTCTGCTCCAATTTTAGTTTGTAACTACTTCTCATAGCGCTTTGTTTTCAAATATGCTTTTTCAAAATGCGGAGCATGCTGAACTAACCAGAAGCCCTATCTACACGTATCCACCTGGCCCAGTCATCAGACACAACTTTCTGCAGAAGCAGGGCAGAGTATGAAGAGAGCTCCTCATCCTGACTCACGTGAGTTCTGCAGTGTAGACGGCAGAGAGAGGATTTGGTGATGGGTCAGCAGAACGGCAGGGTTGGATGTAGCGGTTCACACAAGAACTGCCTGTACGATTCCATAGAAATAATATGCTGACCCCCAAACACAGCATCTGTTCAGTGATCACAGCAGGTACTGCAGTACTAATGGCAAAAGCAACAGCCTCTACTACTGGGAAGAAATATGTCCGTGTGAGATATTCTGTTTATCCGATATTGACACTAGTGCCTATGTGCAAATAGTCGTTACAAAAGTACAAATGCTCTGTTGCACTATAGCCTCTAAGCTCCTCTTCTATGGCTTTAATATCACTGACAATTTGAGATAATCTTCTACAGATTCTCATCTATCACAAAAATGTCTGCAGGGCAATTTAATGCTGCTTTTGGCTATGTTCTTGTACCTCCTGTTCAGCATGTAAACATTTATTTCAAGTTAGATACACATAGTGCTCTTGCAATGGGCATTATTTAGAAATCAGCTTAAATGTGATCTGTTTTATAAAACATACCGTCACTGTCTCTCTGATGTACTGATGTGTCTTCTTCAATGTAAGTGAATTCTCTGCATTTCTCCAGGGAAGCAATGGATGATGTGCTCGCATCTGACAATTTCTTCTCATTTTTGGTACCCTTTGATGAAGTGTCTGTGATGCTGAATTCTGCGACAGAACTCATAACAATACCTTTCATAGGCTTTTCATCTGTACGTTTTTCATTTGTAAGCTGGTTATCTGGTGGGATTAAGGAAAAAAAAAAAAAGACTTGTTTGTGATACTAAGACAGAGATCTGAAAGAATAACATATGCAGAATTTCCAAGCCTACAGTTGTTTTCTTCCAAGGCCTAACCCTACTTACCTAATGATTGCCGTCTCTTTACGCAACTAAAGTTTATTCCTAGTAGAAGAATTTGTGAACTTGCATTCTAAGGTTTTCTCTTAAACTCAGAGGACTTAGAGGCTAAGTAATTATTCACTTCAACTGGGTGGGATCAGGTTAGGAGAGAGAACAGAAATATTGCCTCAGTCAACATCTATTTGAATTGTGATATCCTAACTTCAATTTGTGATATAAAAGAAGGCAAAACAATGATCTTGTTATTTTTCAACAGTGGGTTTGTTTCCCTAAATTTACAGCCAACAATGTGTGTGTAGGTGGTACCTAGATGCAGATGTGCCAGCTTGCCATGGCTCATAATCTTGCAGCAAAGAAAGCCAGATGGTATCTGTTTAACATTCAGATTCATTATTTCATAACTTCATCCACACTAGTGTTGTTGGCCTGGAAGTCAACTAGAAGATGGGATACTTCACATGCTGTCAGTGTGCCAGAGAGGCAGCTCAAAAACCAGAGGGAGAGCTTAATTTTAAGTCCCAACTAGGGGAAAGGTTAAAAAGAGTTCTGAGCTCAATTTATTCTTGAAGAACTTCTCAGGCACAGATAAACATGGGTTGATATATAGTTTCACTTACTCTCCGAACTGATCAAGAGGCCAAGAAACACACTCATTCTCTCTATGGCTGGGATGATAAAACCTCATCAATTCTTATCTACAGCTGATTAACTCCTGCACCTCACATCAAGCACAGCCTCACTTTTTATCTCACTTAAATCTTGTGATATGCTTGCTCTTGAGCTATATACAGAAAATCAATCTTTACAAACACCTCAGTTTTGCAAACATTACTTTCTGAGAGGAACGGTAAGTGCTCTTAAAGCAGTTAGTCTGCACTTTGCTGCAAGGAGGCAAAGAGAGACCCTGCATATCTCTTGTTTTTCAGGTACCTTTGACCCCTGATGTATATTAAAGAAAAGCCAAAAAAAAAAAAAAAAAAGTTGAGTGAAACCTTGTTGAGACTGCATTTATGTCCCATAGTATTATTTCAGCCAAAAGGAGGAAATGTGAATGGGATGGGTGGATTGCAAGGAAGGTGAAAAACCACTGGGACCATCAGGCTTGAAGTGGGAGGAAGCAAAGATCTGAGGTCTAACTGGTATCTAGAGCAAGTCCAGTGAAGGCCACCGAGGTGGTGAGGGGCCTGGAACATCTCGTGTGTGAGGAGAGGCTGAGGCAGCTAGGCTTGGTTGGCCTGGAGAGGAGAAGGCAAAGAATGATGCTGGATGCTGTCTTCCACTTCATTGCCAGGGTGATGGAGAAGCCAGACCCCAGGTCCTTCCAGCAGTGCACAGAGGTAAAAGGACAAGAGGCCACTGTCACAAGTGGCAGCAAGGGCAATTGGGGTTGTATGTGGGAACAAATTCTCCATCATGGGAGGTGTAAAGCACCGGGACAGGCCCTGGCAAGGCTGGGGAAGTGTGAAGAGCTCAGCTGGGCGTGGACCTCGGCAACCTGCTCTTACCGCAGTGTTAACCCTCAGCAAAGGCCAGACAAGGTGACTTCTAGAAGTCCCTTTCAAGCTAATTTTTTTAATGATTTCTATGAATCTACTTACAGAATGAGTGAGCAATTCATATATATTTTTACTCATAGATTTCATGCTGTTTTACATCAACTTCATGTGGAAAAATACATAGAAGCAGAAAAGCTGGGTAGAGGTTAGTAGAGTAAGACCTTGGGAGAGAATAAGAAGAAATACTAAGCTATCATTTTCACTTTAAAACACTGTTTTAAAAATGTGTGTTGGCAGATGTTTTGGCTAGATTTTGAACTTGTAATCATGACAAAGTCTACTATGAAGGAAAGGTGGATTTTCCCTGTCCTGGAGAGTTTACAGGTTGGCCTTAGGCAGGAAGTGACCATTGGGATTGAGAAAAGTAGGGGGAAGGAGAGAGTAGGACAGCAATGACAGAGAGGAGTCACAGAAACCCGTAATTGTCAGTTTTTGTGAGCATTACAACAAAGGAAAGCCACAGGCAAGACTTGGGAAGGGCAGGAGAGGCAGTGGCTCCTCCGGGTGTGAACCAGCAGTGCAAAACACAGCGGTGCTCGCCTGGAGGTTGTACACTTTGGTCACAGGAAACCAGCATCCTGGGCAAAGCACACCAGATTTTGCCAATCTGTGATAATCTGTTGATGGTTTCCCCCCCCCGAGTAAGTAAATATAGCGCTTTTTTTGTTGTTTTTCCCTCTCTGACTTCTTGACCAGCATCTTCAGTCCAAAAAGTGAAAATTCATTCATTTTTGATGTGCTTACATGTACAGAAATCACTTTTTTCCAGTGTTTATAAATCAGTGACATGCTAGTTTTTCCTGCATTTTCATTCAATTATATATCATCTCAAGTAAAAGTTGTGCTAACTGAAGTAGCAGAGCTCTGGAGGACACAATGTCCCACTTACGCATTGGATCTATTGGATAGTAATTGATTTGTGAGTCCAGAAGACACATGCCCCACCTGTTATTCAGGTGCCAATCTTACAAATGGATCTTGTTTTTCCAGGCTGAAAGCTACGCACAGGCTGAGTAGCTGAATACACATGGATCAGATTGAAAGGCCTAGGCAAAAATGACGATTTCTATCCTTTTCCACTTTCAAAATTGGCCCCAAAGTCTAAACTGGATATATTTTAAATTGCAATATATCTGTTGAGTTCCCCATTTCTGCAACAATACAATGGCCCACAGAATGCACTTAAGCATTCAATAAACGAGACTGAAAAAAAGAATCAGACAGAGGTAATCAGTAAATGCCAGACTAACATTTACTGTATCCACCAACTTCTACTATTCATGCTTTGAGTCAATTTTTATTCTTGAAGTGCTGTTGAAGAGAAATCAAAACCAGAAATAGAAAGGCATAGACATAACCTGAATTTTTCAATACAGCACCATCAAACAAAAGGGTAACAAAAGCTGTCATTCAAGGACTCTTCTGTTTGTTAAAGCATACTACATCTTTGAAAATACAGTACATTTTAGTGTCAGACTCTTAGTTTGAAAAGCTCCCGTTAAGTAATGTTATACTTGTCTTGTACAGCTAGATCAAGTCTTCATGCAATCACTGTAACAAGCAACTTGCTATGACAAGCGAGATCCTTGCTTCCAGAAAACAGTGCGAGAGAGGCTAAAGCAGTGTACAATTATAGGTCTCCATTTCATTTTTATGCAATTACCTTCAGTTCAGTTGTGGGTCCATCTACATTATGTCTTTTATCAATTTAATGTTTGCACAAAGTGTCTAAAGAAATAAAGATAATGCTAGACAAGCATAAAAAAAAAAAACGGTTAGCGCTTTTTTTTTTTTTTTTTCTTTTATAGTTTGTTGCTGCATGGAACACTAGTAGGTTGAGAGTTTGGAACAAATAAGTGGAGGCAAATAGGCTTTAAAAATATATTGTGTAAAATAGATATTATTTATGGTTATTGTGAAATGAGAATGTAAAAAAAAAAATTAAACTACAATTAGAGATGGGCAAGGGTCAAACTTTGCTACTGTCTTTTAAGACCCCATGTTCAGCTTCAGATATCCACAAATGTCTGTGTTTTTAACATGTAGAAATCATGCACTGAAGTGAAATAAAAGGGAAAAATAAGTGTATCATGATGAAGAAAGCTCAGATTATTCAGTGTTAGACTGTTAGGCAGAGACAGCTAGAGGTAAACCCCCACAATGTGCCATTTTAAAATAGTATCATGAAGCAGCAACTTTCTTCTTCATACAGGGAAGCTGGGGCTTGCCTTGACTGTTGCAGTAGAAGACTGGGATTGTTCACCCATGTTTGTATTAAAGGTAGAGTTAGTCTCAATACTCACATGAAATTTCTATTTTTTTTAGACGTTCCATGATTCAGGAGGCTGACTACGGTGTCTAAATTAATGAAAGTACGAAGTAAATTGCTTACGTTCCACTGATGCCAGCCCCAGAGCTCGCTGGTTAATAGCGAGGAGCAGTGATACCAAGACTGGCATTGATAGTAGGTCCCCTGACCTCTATGTCTCTACGCTGGCTTAGGCACAAAGCTGGAGAATAGGAGGCTGATGTTTCCTAGCGCACTTTTGAAATTAGCTTAGTGGCATATAAGGCCTCTAGGTCTTTTTTTGGCATGAGACAGGGACAGCAGCAATATGTTTTTGTTCAGTTGGACAGGGATGGCAGCAATATGGGTAATGCCAAAGAGTTATTTGATGCAACTGGTTAGCAGGAGTTGCCACTGAAAGAGAAGGAGGAGAACTGATCTATCACCTTATGCAGGGCTCACACACATTTTACAAGCAAAGGACAAGGACGCCTGTGGCTCTTCTTGCCAGTGGCATTTGTTCCAAATCTATCCTGGTAGTGGCCCTTTGCCTCACACCCCTGTGGCAAGGGTTAATGGTGAACTGTGTGGAAAACTCTAGCAGTTTAGGACATGTAACTTTTAAATTTCACCGTGAGGCGTCTTTGTGTATCAGTGCAGCGACAGAACCAAAGGAATGCCTGGCTCATCTCCCTGTCACTGGTTATCCCATGCACCGCTGTCGCTACTTGTCTATTTAATATATCACATGCTCGTCACTGAAAGAGCTGTGTGCCATGTCCGTTCAGTCCCGAGATGAAGCAGGCAGAGCTACATCAGACCCGATGGATGGTAACTTGTAAGTATAAAAGCTTGAACTGAACTCACTTGGTTTGAAATGACTCAGAGTAAAATGAAACCCAAACCCTGGGTTTCGATGGATGTGTTTCAAAAAAGGAGAAGTAAGAAGGAAACCAAACTATGTTTTCTTGCCAGTCTAAAGGACATAATTTGTCTGTCAGCAGCAATGGGGGTGGGGG